ACTCAACTCATAAATGCATGCATGTGTCACCAGTCATATATCTCATCACATATCACGTGGTATACTACCGAAATAACATACCTAGAGTAGTCTAGGAGTACATGTCGGCTCAAGCGCGCACTCTCAACTAAAAGGATGTATTGTTAGGGTCTCGTCGGGATAACGAAGGTGTGCAAGATACATCCCATGCACACAAACGGGGAAAATTAGGCCTTTCAAACCGCGCTATCCCCTAGGACTCCTCCAAGATGTTTCACACTTGGAGGGCCTTCCCTAACAATGTACTCCATATCGTACCTAGTCACATAAATGCATATGATGCATGTCACACATTCACAAACTCATTGACTCAACATTGCACTTATCATATCACATCATTTCTCATGTCACTTTTTCACATTTCATATTTCTCATAGTCATACTCATAAGATCATCATTTGGAGATTCTTGTCCTCGTCATGCTCATAAAAATACACCACTTGTATCAACACCATAATAAGACAATTCTCACACCATTATCACCTTCAAACATAGCTTAAAACTTATCTATTTTTGAAACTATCGGTTCTTCATAGGTTTCCCATAGGAACCCATAAAGCACCTTAATTCATATCAAAACTTGTCTATTTTTGAAATTAAACACATATTCACACTCAGCAAACATCAATGAATACAACAAAAAACTCAAACATCAAAACAGAAAACATTCATATTTTACCTATTTCTCATGGAGTTTTCCGTAGGAACCCATATGACACTCTAATCTATATCAAAATATATTCAAACTCAAAATTAAACATACATTAATGCTCAGTAATCATCAGAGGACACAACAAAAAACTCAGAAGCCAAAATAGAAAACATTCAAAATTTGTCTATTTCTCATAGGGTTTCCCGTAGAAACCCATAGAATACTTTAATTTATATCAAAACATATCTAAACTTAAAATTAAACATACATTCATGCTCAGTAATCATCAGAGAACACAATAGAGAACTTAGAAGCCAAAACATAAAATATTCAAAATTTGTCTGTTTCTCATAGGGTTTCCTATAAGAACCCATAGAGAACACTAACCCATATCAAAAACTTATCTATTCTTGAAATTGAATACATTCACACTTAGAATCACACAAGGAACGCAATAGAACAATCAGAAAGCAAAACCAAAAACTTTTAAAAAGTGTCTAATCTTACACCCCTAAGTGAGGTTTCTCACTCCCCCGTTACTTAGATGAGCAGAAGATGAAACAACATCAATTTCCGGTTGGTCTCCTTCTCTTTGGTCTTTAGAGAGCGTAAAAAAGGAATGAATAGAGTCAGGAATAAAAAATGTAGAAATTGACTCTTGACGCCTTTTTTTATACTTAAAATAATAATAATAATAATTAACAAACGACCGCAATGTCCTTCCTTCTCTTCTCATAAAATAATTATAAAATAATTAAAACATATTTTCTCCTTTTTAATAAATAACATAAACATAACTCTTAATAAAATATATTTTCATAAAAATACATTCCATAAGAGCTCATATAAAATAGATAAATAATATAAAATATACTTCTTTCTTTTAGTAAAAATATCATAAGTTTTGTATCAAAATAAAGCTCATATCAAATAGCTAAATAATATTAAAAGTTATTATAATAAATACATTAAAACATTAAAATAAATACTGACATATTATTAATATAATTTTATGAAAATGAGGGTGTTACACATGAAAGGAGTCACGTTAGGCACACGAACACCATAGAGGTCTCTATTTTCTCTGCGTTGGGTGAGAGAGGTCTCACTTAATGTCATGTTAACGTTATTTTTTTTAGAAAAAATGATGCCGAATCTGACCTGGATCACATTGGGCAGTGTTGTTACAAAGGGTTGACTCCTCAGTTCTTAGCATGAAAGTAACCATGTTGGGCACAATTTAGCTAGAGAGGTTCCTGACGTCTCCAAGTTGGGCATGAGCATTACAATGTTAGGTGTGAATTTGGTAAAGAGATCATTGATCTCTTTATGTTGGGCACGAGTAGTATCTTACCAAATGTCTCACCGTTATCAAACTAATTAGGTCTATAAGAGTAATTCAATAGTAAAAAAGCATGTGAGGAGTAATTAATCTTAGAATTAATAGAAATAAATAAGGAAGTTAGTAATTGTGATAAAATCCAGAAAAGAAATAAAGATATGAGAAAGGACTATAAGTTTGTGAGTTCAAGTGTATGATATGATGTATTGTGAATGAATGATGATGAGGTATGACGATGTTGATGAGATGTGTAAGTCCAGGTTGTGACTAACAATGATGAAATTCAAGTAAGGCTCGATATATTTTGGATAAGCCCAAACTCTATGGTTTGGCAAAATCATTGGGTTAGTCATTGCATTGGTTGATGTGTGTAATAAAGCTTAGGCCTTGCTTGTTGGTGATGTGTTGAACTCTGATAGAATGTGACATTGGAACAGTAGTTAGGATTTCCTTTTTCTAGTAGTTTTCCATGAGTAGGATTTAATGTTAGTTGTTTCTCGTTATAATCAATTGTCTAAAACTTATGTTTTATTTCTTTTTGGTTTAGCATTATGTTTCACATGTGATACTTGTGACACCCATCTACCCCCAAGTATGATACCAATTAAAAGATAAAAATATAGCTTTGAGTGGATCCTTATAGATATCGCTTGGTTGAGAGTGGATTGAGAATATCACCCAATGTATGGTGATTTGGTTCTTGGCTCATGGGGTGCCTTGTATTTAGTGATGATGAGATTGTTACCACATGTATGTAGAGTTAAGAGTATGCATTGCACAAATTTTTAATTATAATTGAGATGTTATTGGATTACATGCATGATTGTTGTTAATAATGAATGTACTTATAGTGACTAGTGCCTTATATTGATAATGATTATGAAGGTATGTGTGTCAGCATTATCCTTATGCCTTATGTATTTTATATATGAATGAAATATATTCACATTCCTTGCTTGTGTTTTGTCTGAGCTAATCGTCATCGAAGTAAATCACGTACAAAGAGGATGAGTATGATGAAGGAGAAGCCCAATGCTTCATTTGATGTTTTGGAGTCTTTGCTATGATAGTGTGACATTGGGGTCATAAAGAGTTTCTATGTTTTTTTCTTAGTTATTGATAGAGTTGATTTTACTTTATAATGTTTAATGTTTTTATGTTGAAAGTTTGTGTAAACAATCGATTTGTATCTTATTTTGAATTTATGTTGTTATGAGGTTACCTTTTTATTAAAAAGCTTTTATTTAAATAATTGTGAATCATTTTACTATAAAGTTATGCTTAAGTATATTATACTACTAAATAACTAATTATTTTTTTATTTAAAAATAATTATTTATAATATTTTGGGGGTAAAAGAGTGTCATAATATAGGTGTAAGAATGACCTATCTCTTACTGGTCGCAACATAAATTTTCGTTATTAGGAAAACCTCTATTTTTGCAAGCATATCTAAACTTAATCCCATTATTCAAATACAACTTTCTTTTGGCCTTTGTAAACTCTTCAAGCATGTTTCCTATTCTTTCTCTTTATATTGATCCTAACATTAGCATGTAAATCTTACTCACTCAGACGTTTGAAATTGGAAATAATGATGTTTATGAAAGAATTTAGGCCTTTCAACAAAATAACATGCAACTCTTATATTAAAAAATTATTAAAATTAATTAAACTCAAAAGTGGTGTATTGGTCTATTTCTTCTTCTAACGTTAGAAGTTATTTTCTTATATTTCATCCAATTGAAAAATGTATTTATTTTCTTAACAAGTTTTTTTTAGGTGCAAACAAATTTCTCATAAAACTTGAAAGTTTCTCACTTCTTCAATATTTTTTCAACTTTTTCAATCTTTAATAGCTTTCACATTTTTTTATCCACTTGCATGAAAGTATAAAAAGAAATTAACAATTAATGTATCTTAAACTAAGTCTCTTATCTATATCTATAATCTTTTTAATTATCGTTTCAATCTCCACATTTTATTAGACCATTCTATTCCTTAATTACTAAGAGAAAAGGAAAAAGAAAATTTGAAAATTATAAAATCAATATATTTTTAGTCTTTCACATTACAATCTTTCATGTTCTCTAAATAACCACTCACAATTGCTCACTAAATTATTATTTTTTATTTTTAATTTAAAAAATTAAGAAGCACAAAATGTCTCTTTTCTACTATTTTTTTATAATTAGAATAAAAAATAATAATTTTTTATTATATAAATAACCATTGAACATATTATTTCATTAATAACTTTATAGTCAACACATTTAACATGAACAATTTTTTCAAACACTAGGATCACTAAAACATCACGAGTTCAGATTACTTTTAACAAAGTCTTTTCTTGTATATTTCCCAACTTGACATTGAATCTCTTTAATTTCTTAGAATTCACTTAATAAGTTAAGTTATTAAATACGAAAACCCTAAACACTAAATAAACAAACATTATCAAATAAGAAATGCCAACTTGAGATTGAATCTATTTAATGTATTCTAAAACGAAATATTCATATCATTTAACAAAGTGATTAGGGTTCGAATTATGATTTTTACAAATGAACAAAATTTAAACCACAAGAAATACTCATCTATTCAATATCTGTCAAACTTTTGAAAAACATTGTATTTGTATTAAAAAAAAATTGATTTATTAGATATGAAATCTTCCATAAAATAAAATATAAAAAAATTGAAAAAAAAATTAATATTATATGTGAAAACCTTATAATCTTATATTGAATACGTTAAAAGTGGATATTCATCATATATGCCAAAATTTGAATACAAATCTTCAAATTCCTATGGCATACAAAAACACCCATACACCAACATAAAAACTTTCCATTTAAGTGTATCCTCTAAGAAAAAAAAAATAAAAAATGACCAAAAAAAAATATTTTTTCTTCCCAAAACCAAACAAAAAAAAGGTTATTTAACCTCGCCCTTGAGAAGGTGAGAGCAGTATAGCATGGTCCATGAGGCATGAATTGAAAAACTAGCCCCTTGTGTAACAATCCCCGCGCTCGTCCCTTTGGCACACCGCGTCTTTTCTCTGACTCCGATTCTCCCCTTTTTCTCACACTCTCTCTCTCTCTCAACAACCACCACTAGGGCGCGCACACACACACACACACACTATGAAGCCCGAGTTGTACGAAATCTCCGACGAAGAATGGGAGAATCACTCCTTCAAACCCTCCCGAGTTCTCAAGCGACCCCGCACTTCCTCTCCCTCTCCGCCGCCCATCGAGTCCTTCGCTTACGCCCCCAAGCCCGACGTCTCCAGCGAAAACGACAGCGACTGCGTCGAAATCGCGCCCAGCTTCCGCCAAAATCTAGACGACCTCGAGGACGCCGACGCCGACGCCGACGCCGGTTGCGCCGCGGCCTCCTCCCGCGCCCGCCGCTTCGTGATCGACGACGACGATGACGACGGCGCCGAGGAGAACGGCGGGAGCGAGCGACGCGTGGCGGAGGCTTACGACGTGGCGTCGAGCGAGGAGGAGGAGGAGGAGGAGGAGGAGGAAGAGTTTGAAGAGGAGTTGGACGAGGACGACGTGGTTGGTAGGGCTTTGCACAAGTGCGCGCGAATCTCCGCGGAGTTGAAGGGCGAGCTCTTCGGCTCCTCGGGGACCGCGTGCGAGAGGTATTCGGAGGCTGAGTCTTCTTCAGTGAGGATCGTGACTCAGGTTAAGCGGCGATTCGTTTTGTTTTTGTTTCGTTAGTTAGGTTGAAAGTTTGCGTTCGTTTGAGGATTGAATGTGCGTGTCGTTGCTGTGTGTAGGAGGATGTTGACGTTGCTTGCGGCTCCGAGGATTCGGATTTTCAGCCTCTGCTCAAGCCGTATCAGTTGGTTGGCGTCAATTTTTTGCTTCTGTTGTATCGGAAGGGGATTGGAGGAGGTAAATGTTAGGGTTTTTGAAGTTTTTTTTTATGATGTGCTGGGTTTAGGTCATGCGGAATTAGTTTTTGTTTGTGTTGTGCTTGCTTGTGTTTACCGACAGGTCTAGCTTTTTAGAGCTCAATTGGTTTTTTTTTAATTAAGGTTTGTGCATTGGAGATTAGGAGGTAATTTGTTAGGGTTTTTGTAGGGTTTTAATATTTTATATTGGGGTGAGTTTAATGTGTGTTCGTGCGTGCTTTTCGATGTTTTATGGACTATGGAGGTGTTGAGAAAAATGGAAGAGTGCATAGATGGCTGGTTCTTTCATTGTGGGTTTCTCAATGTTGTGACATTATTTTTTGTTGTGGGATGGCATATTTGCTTTGTATTTGGTGTTGCAGCTCCTGGGATTGTGCTTTTTGTAACATCAAAGTGTAATGCCATTGTGATCTGTGTTTACCGATTGACCTAGCTGTTTGAGAGCTTAACTTGGTTTTCTTTTTCTTTTTTCTTTATGAATTTTGAATATTGGTGGTTATCATGCAATGAGTGTGTTTGTATCTCTGTTCAGTTGTATTGAATGCAAATCCAAGACACCCCTCCTGTTTTTGCATGGGAAAGTGGGAAACTTCTGTTCGATGTGGTTGGAATGGTTTCCAAACACATTTTTAGTTTTTGCATTAGAGATTAGTGTGATTGTTATGAGACACGTGATTGATATTTGATTTCATGTGTCACACAGCCATATTGGCAGATGAAATGGGTCTTGGCAAAACAGTTCAGGTATATTATCCTGCTTTTTTATTTTTTTTAATATGTTTCTACTGTTGTTTGTAATTCTTGTTTTCTTCAAGTAAGATATGCCATATGTTCTTGTCTTCCAGGCCATCACCTATTTAACTTTGTTGAAACACTTGCACAATGATTCTGGTCCACATCTTATAGTATGTCCTGCTTCTGTTTTGGAAAACTGGGAAAGGGAATTGAAAAGGTGGTGTCCATCCTTTTCTGTTCTTCAATATCATGGTGCTGGACGTGCAGCATACTGCAAGGAGTTGAACTCCCTGTCCAAGAAGGGGTTGCCTCCTCCATTTAATGTTCTTCTTGTGTGTTATTCACTTTTTGAACGACACAGGTTCATTTCTATACATACTTAAGCGCCATTTAAATATATTGTCTTCAAATGTTAATTAAATTTTTATAATTTATATTCATTCTAGTGCACAGCAGAAAGATGATCGCAAAATCCTGAAGCGGTGGAGGTGGAGCTGTGTGCTGATGGATGAAGCACACGCTTTGAAGGACAAAAATAGCTTTAGGTTTAAAAATCTGATGTCTGTTGCACGAAATGCAAGCCTACGCCTGATGCTGACAGGGACACCACTTCAGAATGATCTACATGTATGTATTGCTTATAGACTGTAGTATAGAGTGAATGTCTTTGCTGCAATGTCGCTGTTTTTTCATTTATTTATTTGATGTTGCTGCACTAAACAAGCTTTTGCATACATTACTTGAATAATTTATTATCTCACAAAAGATTTATGTTGTGGCTGGACAATATTACAAAGATAATATAGTGTGTGTTTGTTTTAACATCAGCACACTTTCCAATGCCCGTTCAACTGAATCCATGAGTCTTGTAGCTTTGAATTGAACGTACGTTTGAGGCTTCTCAACTATAAAACAAACATGCTCATACAGTGTGTTTAGAAACTCTGTTCATTGCTGAGGCATGGTACAAGTGCTTTACTTCAACTGCTCAATATCTAGCTTGTCATGCATTAAATAATGCTTTAAGTTGTCCATTGAATGTCACTTTAAGCTGAATGCTCAAGGTTCAAAATTCTTTGATATTTCCTCTGTATAATTTGAAGGTATTCTTGTTTCATTCCAATTCTTAAGTGGTAATATTACCATAGTCCGGCTATTTTTGAACGAAAACAATGGGTGGATGCGATTAGGCAGAATAAAAGCTGAAGGAGTAAAACACATTTAGGAAGAAAACATAGTAGTCAATAGCGGCCGGAGCGGAGCGGCCTCACCCCGCAATCTCGCTGCTGTCGCGTGGCGGATTTGTGTAGCGGCCGGAGCGGCCGCGTCGGAGGCGGAGCGGAGCGGCACAAATCGCGGAATCGCGGGCGCGATTTCGACTTACCCTTCATTAAGGGTAAGTCAGTCTTTTCAATGGGGCTTTTTTTGCCCCAAGTCTACCTTTCCATCTCGCGATTTCAATTGTCGCAGCCCTCTCTCGTCTCTCCCTCTCAGATTGTTTCTTCTTCTCTGGCGATCGTGTGTGCAGTTCCGACGAACTCCGGCTCTGACGCACCTCCGTCGCCGACGCGCCTTCAGCTCCGACGCACCTCCAACTCCGACGCGCCTCCCGGTCCGACGCGCCTCCAGCTCTGACGTGGCCGCAAGCTTCGACGCGTCTCGCTTAGTTCGTCTTCTCCTTCGAGTATTCTCTCCTTTATGTACATTGCAACATAATTTGTTTTTTAATTTTTTATTAAATTATTATTATTTTTTTAATTTCTGATTAAATTTAATTCAACAAATTTTATTTTTAAATTCTGATTAAATTTAATTCAACAAATTTTATTTTTAGTTTCTGATTAAATTTAATTCAGCAAATTTTATTTTTAATTTCTAATTAAATTTAATTCAGTAAATTTTATTTTTAATTTCTGATTAAATTTAATTCAGCTGATTTTATTTTTAATTTCTGATTAAATTTAATTCAGAAAATTTTATTTTTAATTTCAGAAAATTGTATTTTTAATTTTTGATTAAATTTAATTTATCAGATTTGTTTTCTGATTAAATATAATTCAACAATTTTTTTAAAATTTTTTTATTAATTGAACTGCTTTTCTGTTTCTATTTCAGCAGCTTATTTTTTTTTATATTTCTGATTCTATTTAATATATATAAATTAATATTAAAATAGCGGTTATCCCGCTCCGCGTCATCCCGCTATCCCAGTTTTAGGGTCGACCGCTCCGCGCCGCTATCCGGGATTGACTACTATGGAGGAAAATGATAAAAACAATTCTTATTTCAACAAGGTAGAAAGTTTTATTGACAAAGGAGTAGAAGAAAAATACAAAAAGAGCAAATTCTCCCATCTGGTGGTGGTGGGGGCATGGTTGTAGCAGCACCTCTTGATTTTTGACTGAACTCAACTGCAGCTATGCAAGCATCTAGGGTGTCAGTTTTTGAGAAGCCATGCTCTCAATTCTAACTCTCAACGAAATCATCAATTGATAGGAACAATTTCTATCTAGATAAGGTAGAATGTTTCATTGAAAAGAAGTTGAAGAAAAATACAGAAACTAAAGATCAATTGTTTCCAGTCCCAACCGAGGTAAACACCTATTGGCAAAGAAGCAGAAGAAAAATACAGAAAGTAAGGGCAAATGCTCCCTAGTCCCAACCAAGGGAACAAACTGAAATTGAAAACATGCCTCCCCCCTCTCCCTCTGAACTGCATGTTTAACAGATTTGTTCTCTCTCTCTCTCTCTCTCTCTCTCTCTCTCTCTCTCTCTCTCTCTCCCCTCTAACAAACTGTCCCCCTCATTTGTTATTTACAAGTTAGTCCCTCTACAAAATGGAGAGTCAGCCCTCATTAGCAGATCATCAGGCTTTACCAGGCCCCTACTTTTAGCTAACCAAATCAGAAACCTATCATATACACTGTGTCTTGAGTGATTTACTGATTTTTGATTTTGAGACAGGTGAGTAGGCTTTTTCAAGGTTTGAGTCTTAAGAGTGGATTTTAGAGGTATATATTTTTAATTACATTTTGCAGATGGCAACCTTTTCTTCTTGGCCGAAAATGGGTAAATTAGATTTAGTTGTTCTTTGGTTTGAACATATACCAAATTAGAGGTTCTTTTAGCATGTTTTGATTTGGATGGCCATGTTCTCGCTTATATGGCTTCACCTGACTGCTGTGCTCTCTGGATCCAAACGGTTTATGTTTGGGTAAAAATTGGAAACCAACAGTTTTTTGGATTCAGTGGAAGGAAATAATCTTTAAGGTGGGATTGCTTTAGGGTATTTAATTTCTATAGCTCATTCAATTATTCACCAATTCACTGCTTGGCCAACATATTCATTCATTAACATGATAATTTTATGAAATAAAAATAGGAATTTTATTTGTCAACAAAAGTTGTGTGGTTGATTATTACCATAGCCAGTAGGATGTTGATTGTTGGTCTCAGTCTATTTAGCGTCATATTTGCAAGATGGATGAAGGTTTGGAAACTGTGAAGTCCTGATTTTCTTAATCCTTTTTTATTTTATATTGTTCCTTTTGTAAGTATACATGCAAATATACAAATTCTATTGAAGAGTTTAGAAGTATCTAATAAGCTTATGTAAACACAGTTACATTCTGTGAATAGAAAAGGAAAATATCTTGTCTTTGTTATTCTGTACCAATAATGTACTTAAAAAAAATTTGACTCTCATCTCCAGCTGTTGATTTTACTGGCATTAATAAAAATGTAATTGTTGATTTGAACATTGTTATGAATTTGTTGCAGGAGTTATGGTCATTATTGGAGTTTATGATGCCTGATATTTTTGCTACTGAAGATGTTGACCTAAAGAAGTTACTAGATGCAGAAGATAGAGATTTAATTAGTCGAATGAAGTCCATCTTAGGGCCATTTATTTTGCGGAGACTGAAATCTGATGTGATGCAACAACTTGTTCCAAAAATACAGCAGGTATGTCTCATCTCTGGTTCCAATTTCATTGTTTTTGTTATACTTTTCCTCTTCAACATGTTGCTGTTTATATTTGTCTAGTAAGCTAAAACTTGTTACTGTAGGTTGAATATGTTATAATGGAAAGGCAGCAAGAAACTGCTTACAAGGAAGCGATTGAAGAGTATCGTGCTGTTTCACAGGCTCGCATGGCAAAATGTTCTGAGCTTAATTCAAAAACTGTTCTTGAAGTTCTTCCTCGACGACAGATAAATAACTATTTTGTTCAGTTCCGCAAGGTTCTTGATTATGTTTTGACTTAAAATTTCTCTTTTTATTTATTTTTTAATTTACACAGTTTGCTTTTATTTGGTTACATATTTCTGTATTCTTATTCCAGATTGCAAACCATCCCTTGTTAATAAGGCGAATCTACACTGATGAGGATGTTATTCGCTTTGCTAGGAAGCTACATCCGATAGGTGCTTTTGGTTTTGAATGTACTTTGGACAGGGTTATAGAGGAACTTAAAGGTTACAATGACTTCTCTATTCATCGGGTAAATTTTCTACTTGAAACAATGCAGTTACTGACCATTTCTATGTTTGGCTTCCATCAATTTGCTCAAGTAGTTTTTGTTAGACTCTTCACCCCATCTTGCCCCTCCCCTTCTCTATTTGGGGTTGTGTTTAGATTGGTTCTAAATGTATATAATCATATTTGTCAATTATAGTGTGAGATAGTGGCACTTTTGTGTTGACATGTCCTGTTGTGGCAACTGGCTGCACAGTTGGTCCATTATGGAGCATTTTTGGTGGAGTGGTGACATCAAAGCCAATTTGAATCTTCCACAGGTGCTGCACCAATAATGGGTAAAAAACACACATTTTTGCCAACCCTTTTATTCATTGGCAAGTTTTGTAAGGTTAATTTTGGGGTTTCTTTCACTGCTTCAGAGTTCAGAACCTCTTCAGTGTTAGTTTTTCTCTTTTCAAACTTCAGCAGCCAAACACAAAAGCTATGTTCTTCAACTGTTTTCCTGGAAGATCCAGGATTTTGTTAGTTTGCTCCTCTTTCTCTGATGTGC